ATATATAAAAAAAAAAAATGAAATGCCTTGGCTTGGCCACTCTCTGGATAACAGGCAAACTCTTTTGTGTTGGACTTTTGTTACGAATTGCGCAGTCCAATTTTTTTTTTCTCTATCTGAGATTGTATTATGGCATAAACAGATCAATTTATTATATTCATTTTTACGTCCAGCCTCCAGAGTCACCCCTCCTTTTATCCAGTAGCTCACAATATAGGAAATCAAAACAATGCAAGTATTTGATTTTGTAGTAAATATGAATCTATATGATGATGTGTTACCAAAAATAGACACTTACTGCCATAAGGAGAGTTAGCTGAGGAGCCATTAAGAAATCCAGGGGAACCTGGTACACCTAGATTGGGCATGCCGGCATTGCCATATCCATTCATGCTATTGCTGACTGTGTTGTAATTGGACTGCTGAGGAGTACTGCTGGGAACATATCCTCGCGGGGAAACACTGCTTGTGTTGCGACTGTAACCTACTGTGTTAGAAACCCCCCCACCCCAAAAAAATAATGTTATTTTATAATATAGACTTAGGGCTGGGGGGTTTCCTCATGCAGCACATATTACACAGTTTTAATTGATTGCACAGCTTTGCTCTAAGTTGTCTCTTACTGCCCTATCAACTCTTGCAGTTTGAGATAACCTTATCACGCCAACCCTACTTAAATCATCTGCGAGCACTCTGTGTTGTCTCTCCTCTTAGCACAGACAGCCAACAAAAGCTCTCTTCGATCCGGCTGTGTCAGGTGCCTTCACGTTTGTCTTTAGGAGCAATTATCAACAGGCTCGAGTCCCGCTTTGTACCAACACACTGAATGAACTTTCAGCCTCTCCAGACCTTCAAATGCCATAGCTGACAAGAAAAACTTTTTTGTTGCAGTGATTTACTTTAAAAGGCTGTTTTGGGGTATTCATTTTGTGACTGATATTTTTATATTACCAATAAGCTCATACTTTTGTAAGGTGTAGCCATCGGTGAAAACTAATTCAAGATCAAGTACAGAATTTTATAAGGCTTATTAGCTTGGAAAAGCATTAAAAGACAATCTTTTTAGAAGAGGAAACATAGCGGAATCGGGATTTTAAACAACAATTTGTTCCTATCTGGGCAATCAATTTAATAATTATGTTGCAAGCAAAAAATATGGGTTTGAACATATCTAATAATCCTGTTTCCCTCCTTCCATTAGTATCAAAATTAATTTTAAATGCAATATGCTACATGCATTTTCAATTACAACAGGTAAATTAAATCAACTTTTACTTTTATTAGTAACATATATGTCACACATGCCTATAAACAAAGTATTTTAAAATCACAGACATCAAATTAGATTTATCTGTGTAAATATTCCAAAACCGGGTGGAGATACCTAGACATAATTATTTTATAAAAAACGTTGTATATTTACTGTGAATAATAAACAGCTTTCTACACTTTGCCAATTTTTTTTTTTTTTTTTTGTCCACTGGAGATGCTTTATGATAACAGTAAACGAAAGAACAGGAAGAATTAAATATTAAGAGAAAGTTAAAGACGGCATTTCATTACACGATCAGTCATATGACTACGGGGAAAAAAAGAAGTAGAACACAGCGGTGACATCAGCTCGTATTAATAGGCACTGGCCAAAAGCAGTCAACAGCGTGACGGATTAACTCTTGAAACCCCACATACCTTGGTCGTTGGCTTGCGATGTTTCGGAAACGTTAACGGCGAGCTGGCTGCTGAAGGAGTTCACCCCCATCATGCCAGTGTGAGCAGGAGTGTTGGCGAGAGTGGGGATCTGGTTGTGGTTGCGTGGCACACTGTATAGCGCTTCAGCAATGTCGGCTGCTCGTTTCAGGATTATTTCCTGTGAAAGAGACAAAATGAGCACTGACGACTAAGAAACCGATCTGCGCAAATATTCCAAGTCGCAATAACGTTAGAATTTACAGAAGACTCGTGTGAAATTATAGGTAGGGTGGGGACCTTGCTGCTTGCTCCAGCTGCACCTTCTGTTTTCCTTCCTGCGCACCGGAGCGCTATGCAGTTTCACATCCACACAGTGAGTATAAAGAAATAAAGAAATTAACATAAAATTACAGTTTGGCCCCGAAAGTCCTGCGAAAATTGTAACATACACTTTATTCATCCAGGGCAGTAGATGCATTTTCAGCAGTTTGCAAAATACAGTATGTTCTACCCGCTCTGTTTAGCAGATTTCTTTAGGACTTGCCATTAGTCACTGTATATTTTGGCCTGGGTTCAAGGTTATTCTCTCGCCTTAATGATGGCTTATGCTTTTGGCACCTTACACGTAATTGCCATTTCTGACAGGCAAACTAGCCATGAGGAGGGAACGGGAAGGTGAAGCGTTTCCCTTAGAGCAGGGCAGCACGTCAGACTGCCCTCGAGGCGGCTGGCGCAGCCGGGCTGCGTACAAAGGGAACGCGCCGCTGCTCTGCCAGCCGGGCAACCAGCAGCTATTGGGTTGCCGGCGTAG